CTGCATCCCCAGAACCAGAACCAAATGAGGAGAAGCAGCATTCAGTTTCTATGAACCACAGATTTGGAACAAACTTCCAAAAATCACCAAGTGGAGGTTAAACCTCCTGCTGGAAAACACGGAGATCAGACAATTATCAAGCCATAAAGATTAGAAACATAAACAGAAAGTCAAAGTGAGGAAAATCACCAAACCAGCAGCCATTTACACCCACAGCTCTCTGTCTGCAGGACGGATCGGGCCCCAGGAGCCCTGGCAGAGTTCCCAGTATCTGCCACACACACACAGCTGTGGGACGACTGCTGCTTTAAACTACAGCAGACCGACTGAAGAATCGGAGGCAGACGCCGCGACCAGAGGATCTGATGAGCTCCACACTTTCCTCCCATAATCACACAAAGCAGCTGCATGTGCAGAATGAATCTAAAGGCTTCTCTCTGGTTAAAAAAAACAACCTTTCATAAAGTAAGACATGAAAACGAGCAAAACAATGACAGAGTAGTAAAATAAAATCACTGTTTGAAAGAGCAGCTTTGAGCTGACAGAGTTTAACATCAACATCCAGAATCGGCTTGTTGGTTTAATCAGCTATAAAAACTAAAGTTTTATTTTTCATATTATTCAGAAATAATTTTCAGAAACCAGAAGGAAACTGAATCAGTTCAGACTGAGGCAGAAAATGCAAAGATGGACAGAGACACAGTTATTATTAAAGACTGAATTATGGTTATTATGGAAACATCTGTGAAGATTAAAACCTGATATTTAAACTTAAAACAATAAATAAACAGAATAAAACAGTTTCTCCAGACACAATTTGATCTTTTTATTTCAGTTTAAATTATTGATTTATTCAACAAACTCCTGGTCCACTTAGACATAATGTTTATGGGAAGATCAATTTTGAATTCAAGGTCAGAAGATCACATTATTTTTGTCCTGATGATCATAAATTAAATATTTACACTGAACACTGGAATAAATAGAAATGATGAGCAAACAGCAGAACTGACATTTCTACAAAGAGCAAAAGAAACATCTAAAGAGAATTTGCACATATTTATGAACTCTTGTGGTTTGAACCCATTCCAAATAAATTAGATTTTTGTTTTTAAATAACATAATTTAACCTTAAACATTAAATAAGACATACTGGCAGTTTTAGAGGAGGCATCAAGATGTTTGTTTTCTCTCTGGGGGTTCAGTGATTAATTTATCGGTGCCAAATTCCTTCATTGTGGTAAGGTAAGGTAATTTTATTTATAAAGCACATTTTCAGTAACAAGGCAACACAAAGTGCTTTACAGGAATTAAAAGGAAATACAAACAAAATAACAAATCAATCCAGTGTTGATCTAAAGTCTGTAACTAGTTTCTCCTGTTCGGGTTGATAAGTTTCCTCTGGTTAATTCCTTTTGGAAGAACAGGAGTCTGAAACGTTGAGGCTACGGTCGTTTTTCTGGATTCTAACTTTGTTCTGGGATGCTAAAGAAGTAAAAATATTCTCTGGACCTACTCAGTGTGCTCTAAATTTGTAAAAGTAATGAATATCCTTCAGTCTCTAAGTGATAATAAAAACTAAGTGTTTTTGGGAGATCGGTGATTTTTACAAGTGAAGCCGATACACTGATGTTATCGACCTCAGCAAAGGCCTAAAAATCAACCTCTGTCCTTTGTGAGCAGGTCTGACTGACGGACCGGCCACCAGGCCACGTCTGCAGGTTGACAGGTAATAGGGACCCCACTGTTCTCTGGGCCTCCCTTCTGAAGCTGCTACCCCCATGACCCGACCTTGGATAAGCGGAAGAAAATGGATGGATGGAAAACGGTACCAGCCAGAATCTGAATTAGCAGGTCAGGCTTTTGAAAAGATTGATAATTGGCGATTAGCCCTGAGGCTCCTGAGGTCCCTGAAGTCCCTGGCCCCTGAGGCTCCTGAGGCCCCTGAGGCTCCTGAAGTCCCTGAAGTCCCTGAAGTCCCTGAGGCCCCTGAGGCTCCTGAGGCTCCTGAAGTCCCTGAGGCCCCTGAGGCCCCTGAGGCCCCTGAGGCCCCTGAGGCCCCTGAGGCTCCTGAGGTCCCTGAAGTCCCTGAGGCCCCTGAGGCCCCTGAAGTCCCTGAAGTCCCTGAGGCCCCTGAAGTCCCTCTGCTCACTGAGGATAAAGGAGCACCATGATCAGGAGCAACAGAAAACTCCCAGACTCTGAACAAGAAATGAATGACAGACACTAAACATGTTGAGTTTCTGATTGTCTACATCTGTCACAGCTGCTGGTAGGAGATGTTGGTGGAAGAACTGAAAATATTTCAATGGAAATCTGGAGGTTTTCTTGGCAGGAGTCAGTTTGGATCAGCTGAGGCTCGTTGGTCAGGAATGAGAGAAGGTCGAATGTTGGGAATCAGACGACTGTATCAGTCCTGCCTGTGGAGAGGACAGAGATGAACATCAGTCAGAAAGGACAGGAAATAAAACCTTAATATGTAACCAGGTAGACATGATGTTATTGAGTGAATGAATCAGAAAAGTTTGTTTTCACTAAACAGATTCTTCTGATCTAAGAAATTGTTGCACTGGGGATGAAATAACTCGTCTGTTTCCAGATTCAGGATGACGGAGAAACATCCAGCTGAACGAGTGATGATGAGTTCAGGGGACGTCGGTTTATTCTGTTTATGAAGTAAAAGCATCTCAGGGATTTTTACCAACATAATAATTAAACTAAGCTGCTTAGATCCAAACATCTGATCTCTGGACGAGGAATCAAACATCAGAGCTTTTTTACCATAACATTTAAATATATTTTTAAAGTTTTTATTTTGGCCTCACATAAATTAACACATAATGTAAAATGTTAAAGTTTGAAATAAACAAATAATTTGATAGTTTCAGGAGGAAATCCAGAACATTTAGCCTGGATCAGGAAGAACAGTTTGTTCTTTAGCAGCTCAAACTCTCAGATCAGTTTAAACTCCTGTTATCATCAGAATGCTAACAGAATGCTAACAGAATGCTAACAGAATGCTAACAGAATGCTAATGCAGCTTAGCTCAGTGATTTCTGCTCTACGCTGGATTATGTTGTTCAGCTTTAAGGGGATTCAGAGAAACACAATTTAACTGTTTCATTTGTCCAAATGCAGTGAAATGTAAACCATAAAACAATATTAATATGATCAAAATAAAACACCTTTTATCACTCACTGAATTTTTTCTTCTTCACTATAAAAGCAATGAGGAGACAGATGAGAACAACAACAACAACAACGATGGCACCGATGATGATCCAGATGTTTCCATGTTGTTGAGGTTCAGCTGTTGGTTGGATGGGTTGGATGGGTTGGATGGGACCAGGCCCTGTGAATCAAACAGCAGCAGGTTTTATAATGAGTTTCCATTTCTAGGATTAATAAAATGTTCAGTTTCTATCCATGGACTGGCTGAGATTTTTCCAAATCCAATTTAAGAGATTTTTAATCTACAAACTAAATAATATCTATAAAAGTTTGGGAGTTAAAATCCTCCAAAACATTTTTAACGTTTTGCATGGAGGTTTAGATGACTATAAAACTTTCTATAAGAGAATCTGGTTTGAACCTGGCTGGCTGAACTGAGCAGATTTAGTTTATTTCACTGTCGTTTTAGTTTCAGACGTTTTTCCTGTTGGTGAGAGATGAAGGTCGTCATCTGCTGATCTGAGTTACAGTCATTGTTTCGGCTCTTCAGCCTGTTGGAAATATCAACCCCAACTGATAATCCCAGCCTGGTTGGAGAGAAACGGATTTCATTCCTGGTTCCCATGGCAACATTGTTCTGCCATTTTTTGCCAGTTTTTCTCTTTTGATAATCTTAAAGATGCTCAGATTATCGGATGTTTCAGATAATTTCTGGCCTAGTCAAAGCACCGCTAGGACCTGCATGTACTGATCCAGCTGAGATACTTACCCTCCACCATCAGGTTGTAGATTTGATTGGTCCCGTTGCCATTGATGATCTGACCATAATAGACTGCAGAGTCTGCAGCTGAGAGATGTTTAATGGTCAGAGAGCCGGTGGTCAGATCCAGATCAAACTGGTCTCGTTTGGTCGATCCACCATGATTCCCGATGTCGATGTCGAAGAGACGATTTTCCTTCCCCGTCTCTGGACCGTAGGACCAGACCACCAGGTCGCCAGGTTTCAGCAGCCTGTGTCCCAGACTCAACGTCACGTCCTCACCAACCTTCCTGGTTAGATTTACTGCTGCAGCTGCTGCTGCTGCAGCGACTGAAACACAAACAGATCACAGAGTTAAAAACTAAATGCTCCAGATTCTCCATCAGGTTAAAACAAGGTGATCAGAATCAACTTTCAGAGGATCTAAACACTGATCTGTTCATCCTGGGGAACGGAGACAGTTTCTCCACAGAACCCGGTCAGTTCACAGAACCAGTCCGTCCGTTTCCGCCTCACAGCCACAGGTAAAGAACCCAAACATGTTACTACGACTAACACTACTTCAACAGAAAGTTACTCAAGTAAAAGTAAAATGAGTCATCCAAGAGTGGAAAAGTATTTGGTAAAAAGTTTACTGAAGTGTAAAATAACTGATCAAATTATCAATCAGTTCATATTTACATCATCAGATGGATCTAAATATAAAGTGGAAAGTTTGATAATTTAAGGACAAAAATGACAATAATTCACATAAGTGACAAAAAACAAAGTTAAGCAAAAGAAAAACTGATTAACTTTAACAGAAACTGCAGGTGTGAGTTTGGTGAATTTTTGGTTAAAACATGTTTGTTTTTCAGTCAGTGGGTTGAAAATCCAGAAATTTTACTGATACTTCATAATAAAATTACTTGAGTAAAAGTAAAAAGTACAGCGTAGTAAAAATACTCCTAAAAGTTTTTTTTTTTCAAAAAGTTACTGAAGTAAATGTAACTTGTTCCTCCTCAGCTCCACTCAAGACAAATGAGGCAGAAAACACAGAAAGACTCAAATAAAAGGATTTTAAGTACTTTTATTTATTTATAGCACATTTCAGCAACAAGGCCGTTCAAAGTTCTTCAGAAGGTCCACAGGTTTAACTGCCATCAGATCCGATCAGATCGATCCTCTGATCTGATCACTGTTAGAAAAATGATTTGTGTAGATTTCATTCTGAAACATTTTGTCTCTCTTGCTCTAGTAATAATGTTGGTCAAGGCAGACGATGTGAGAACAATGGAGGAAAAGGTGATTCATCCGGAAGTTACAGCATCACCATCACTGCTCTCCCTGCTTTGTTGCGCAACTCCTCATTTCTAACACCACTGTGACTAAAACGACCTGCTGAAACATGCGACATACAAGATGCATGTTATTTATTCCTATTCATTACGAACATTTTCTGCTTCCAGTGAATTTAAACATTGTTTGAGGTTAAAATATTACAGAATTAAAAACATTTTGTGCGTTTAAAGGTTATTAATCTGACAAAGGAGCCTCATGAGAATTATCTGTAATTACAATAAAACGTATCAATAGCTTTAAATGTAACAATATCCGTGTTTAATCAGTTTCATAACTGTTCGCAGATTCTGAATGATTCTCAATCCGCTTGTTTAAAGACACAAACCTCCTGCAGGTTTTCCTTCATCTGACCTGCTGCTGATGCAACAGAACCCGAACTGAATCATTCTGGATTCCTGGATTCTCCTTCCGTTTATCATTCATCATAATTTAAAAGCCATAAACTCCGCGTCCCTCTCCCTGGAGATGTTTAAAGGTTTCTCTTGTTTCCCGAAGTTTCATCCGGCTCCGGTGTGTTTCAGGTTCTGTTCTGGTTCGGTACCATCAGCCTGTTAGTTCTCCTAAACTCCGCAGAAAAGATGCCGATAAACTCTGAACAGAACTGCCGACATGTGAACCGAACCTGACTTCACAAAAACACAGAAATAAGAACCGAAAAACTCACGGAGAAGCAGAACCTTCCAGAAATCCATGTGGATGAAACAGCGAAGGGAGCCTGACGTCTTTTTACACCCCCAGAACAAATCTGACCGTCTGCACGGCTCCTGCACCGGCACAGAGACTGGCCGTCCTCCCGCTCCTCCCAGATGGAGGAGGGTCATGAACACACCAGCAGCCCAGCCTCACTGATGGTATGAAGGTTATTTTTGATCCATTGTAACCTTGAAGCGCCTCTTCAAACACAAATTGTGACCGTTTTTCTCTAATTAAGCCAAAAGAAATGGTTAAAAATACATCCACCTGCTCCGGTATGAGAAAAATGGGCTCTGCTTCCAGTCGAAACCAGAAGTTTACATAGTTAATAAAGAGACACTCCCACTTTTTCTGAAGTTAAACCAAACAGTGTGTGATGGCCACAGCAGAACATTGACTTTGTTGTCCTGAAGGGACTCTGTCCAGCTGGGAGACCAGCCTGGATCTGAGCTTTTACTTCCTGGTTGATGTCTTCAGAGGTTCAGTGAATTCGGTTTGATCAGGAACCAGAATTTCATCATCTGCTCCTCGTCCAGCTGCTGTGGTTCTCTTTCTCTCTGCTCTGAGTCAAACCAACCTGTTCTGCTGCTAGTGCTAGGCTAGCATGTTAGCTTTGGTTGTATTTACCCAGAAAGCCCTGCGCTATAGTCCACTTCCTGCTTTTGGAGCGGTCTCTGGTCCGCTTGGTGTTCACAAGCATTGGAACTGAACCAGAGTTCACTTCAACCAACCAGAGACAGAGGTTTGTAGACGGACCAGAGTTAGCTTAGCATTCACACCTCACTAACCGGACTGGACTTTCTGGCGGACTGGAGTTGGAGTAAACTGGATTAACATGGTGTGAATGCACAGTAAGTGGTCGACCACTTTGTAGCTGAGCTGCTGATCCCACTTCCACTGTGAGGAAAGATCAGGACTTTCACCCTGTAGCCACTGCAGCCTTGGTGCTGCAGTTTATGCTGCAGTTTATGCTGCTCTGAACATGCAGGCAACTGGAACAGCTGACCTCAGTGACCTCTGATTTCTGAGGAGCGACTCAAACCCTTCAGGAAGACAACAGAAACTCTCCATCATCATCAGAGCATCCTGCTTTGGTTCCAGCTGGTTCTGTTTCACTGCCTGAACCATCATCATCATCATCATCATCATCATCATCATCATCATCTCGTCACTGACAGGAACAAGAACCATTTTCCTCTGTGGAAACTTTATTATGTCTCAGCATCATCAACATTCTGACATTC